GTAGTGGTGGGCAAGATCCGCATCATACGTATAAATCATACGGATCTCTAGTGGGAATCGATTCATGCGGATCCCGATGCAATAATAATTTCGTATGTTTCGCATCACCGCATCAATGTAAGTTGAGACTGAAGTGAAGTGAATCGGTATCAACTGATTCTCGTATGCGATACAGGAATGAGTAAATGGGAGGCGCACGCATACTGGGAATCAGTTCATACGTATACCGGTATAAAAATAATTTCGTATGTTCGCATCACCGCATCAATGCGAATTGGGAATGAATCGATCTCAACTGATTCTCGTGTCCGATACAGGTCGATGAGATACGATGCATTAGAAACACTTTAGTGCATAGGAAACTAAATATTGAAATACATTATATGAAATTGTGTAGTCTGAAACAAACTTATAATGTAAAAAGTAATTGTCAGAGTGATGTGTATTTCGTATTTAAATGTTGAATCGCTTGACCGAAAATAAATTTAAATATCAATTAATTTGAAAATAATTTGATGCTCAACTTGAGTTCAAATATATTATTGCTTCGTTTCTACTTAAGTTCATCGTTCTGCTAAAAAATGAATTTATAGATGATTGCAAAAAATTTAACGGGAATGAGTGAGCGACAAGCCCACACATTTACAAAATGTACAAGTACAAACTGTACTTGTACATCCACAGTGAATACGATTCCCTGATGCGGATCTTTTGATGCGGATCTTTATGTCGATACATTTCGCATCATGCGGATCATTAAAAAGATCCGTATTGCCCATCTCTACTCCTATGAGCTGATACGCGACGCAATTTCTTTACTGCATATTGGTACCAGTGTGACCATATATTTTTTAGCGAATCTACTGTAAAATTGCAGAAAATCCACTAAAATCTACCAACATAGTAATAAGAAATTACTAAAAATCTACTTCACTGTTATTTGATTATCTAACTAGTAAAAGCCATAGATTAGGACAATATACGTTAATTGCATATTGATTAATATTTCAATTAACGGTTATAAAGTAAAAATAGATAATTAGAATAAAAATGTAGGAGCCAACATATTTTTTTGCGCCATCTATTAATGAGTACAAGTATTCGCGCCGTATTGCGCAGACCAAAATGGAGCTAATTTTAAAGAGGGGAATTTGAATTGATGTTTTTATGAATGTGTATACGAAATAAATAGATCAAATAATTGAAATTTAACCAAAAGTATATTCCGTTTAAAAACCATAACCATACATATAAACTAAAAATAACAAACAAATATAAAAATGCTAATAAAAGAATGCATAACTTTCAAACATAACGTAACTATATTATTCTATATTCCATATAATTCTATATTATTTAAGGTTATGTTATGTCATGTCAGCAAGTCACGGAACACGGTTCGGAAAATTGGTCATGGTCAAATAAAAGTCTAATGTGAATCTGTAGCACTCTGTATTCTGTGGTCAAAAGGTCAAAGCAAAGTCTAGCTTGTTCGCTTCGGATTTGGAGCGAGCGTACCACGCGCCGAAGCTGTGAACGGTGGTAACATGAAACAATAAATTAGCCGCTTGCTTGACTAGGTTGCGCAAAATATGACCAATCGCGGCACAAAAATGTTTACTATATATCTACTAAAATCTACTGTAGATTTTTTACCTACCAAAAATTTCTATATTTCGCTGAAAATCTACCGAAAAAGTAGAAATCTACTAAATATGGTCACGCTGTATCCGCATCTACTATTTTTGACATTTGCATTTGGCACGGTAGTTTGAAAATTGCGGAGATTCGCAGTTACGCATCTCCGCAGTTCCGCAGTAAATAATTGTACATGAGGACTGGCCATTAGCGAACTACAATAACCGAACGCGATTCCCGCCATTAACGATAGCCAACTGATTTGTTTTTTAAACTTGTGGCTGTGGTCTTTTACGCGGTAAAAAACGGATGTCATTTCTTTGGAGACAGCTGAATAAAGATTATAGAATTATATATCGTTTACCTAAAATTAGTTTGGAATCCTATGATAAATATTTTCGCTCATTTTGTATAACAAAAGCCACAATGCCACCAAAAAGAAAAGCAGCCACTACGAAGGTAAGTTAAAATCGATTAAAACATTATTTTATCACCTTGATTTGATACCTAGGTTGAGGCCGTAGCTGATGTAGATTTAGGATTAGATCCTCCAGCATCCAAAACACGAAGAGGACAAGCAGAAGATAAGGCGAAGAAAGCGGAAAAACGGCCTGTTCCCTCTAAAGGTATTATCATGATTTAATTCTCAAATAAAATGTGTTACATATACATATTGCGTAGGTAATAAAGAAAAAGAAAAAAATCTCCCTGAAGAGAAAAAAGTTGGTCGAGTAAAGAAGACTACCGCCACAGCTAAAGATGAAACAACAGCAAAAAGTGAAAAATTTGTTGATAAAAGTAATGACATTGACAGCAACATTACTAAAAGGAGAATTAAAAAAGAAGACAATAGTAATGGAATTGCAAAGGAAAAAGTTACTCAAAAAAAGAAAGAAAGTAAGTAAAAATTATGTTTGCATTTCATTGTTCAGTCCAGTAAGTTTTATATATTTATTCTAAAATAAAATGTACTACATACTTATCTACTTGAAAAATAACATTCAGTAATAATATAAGCCCACTTTATTCCTTTTAATATAATTGTTCCAAATAAGTTTTTTTCCTAGTATACAGGGTGTTTCTAAAATAGGGTTCCAAACTTCTGCTGCGTCTATAACTCATTAAAATAAGCCAAAAAGTTCCTATTAACATGTGCCCTAAAACGCACCCTTAGGAAGTTATATGCCCTTAAAAGAGCTCAAACAAAACTGTTTTTTTTCTGTTATTGACAAAACGTCGCATTTATTTATTTATTTATTCCCTTAGGAAGTTATATGCCCTTAAAAGAGCTCAAACAAAACTGTTTTTTTTCTGTTATTGACAAAACGTCGCATTTATTTATTTATTTATTTATTTATTTAAAATTGTCCAACAGTGAACCACCAATTACAGGACAAAGTGTTCCACCAGTAACGCCTCGGTCGCTAGTGACCAAACGGCAAATGTTACAGAAACCTGTTTAGGTGGGTATGTGTAGGTTGATTACGGCTACATTTTAAAAATATTTTGAGATATACAGGGTGTCCAGGAAAAGCGTACCATATCAAAGTTATGTTTTTTTAAATGGAACACCCTGTATTTTACTGCATTTTTGAAAGCACCGTAAAAAAATAGGTGAACTTTATTAAAGGTTCTGCATACCTAGGACTTACAGTTTGTGAGATATTTCAATTTTAGTGAAAATGCAGGCATAGCGTAGAAATTTAATATTAGCAATAAAAAAATAATTTTAAGGAAGCAGCTTTGGAGGGTCTATTTTAGATCCTTGAAGTTATAAATTGTTATATTTGTCGTCACTTAGTATTATACAGGGTGTTCAAAAAACTGCTGAATACTTCTCTCAACTTTAAACAGCAATAACTTGGTTATTTTAAATGGAACACCCAGTATATTTTTACTTTGGGAGTTGGGAAATTTAAAACTCTTTCAAACTGTGTATAGGTTCCCTATACCTATCTCTAACGGTATTGGAGATATTTGTGCCGTTTCGTTTTTTATCGATTTTTTTTTTGTAAGATGTATCCACGTGTCTTTATCGAGGTCTTTACTGAATTGGTTTGAGTTCTTCTTGATGACGTCTCTTTAAATATAAGGAGAAAAATGTGAATGCAATTAGATGGCGCACCTGCACATTTTTCATATTCAGTGAGGAATTATATAAATCGATAAATAAGTAATAAATGAGTAGGTAAGAATGGTCCATGTCAGTGGCTACCACAGGTGTCCAAACCTCTCGTAATAGACTTCTTTGTTTCGGGCTGTATAAATATATATCTTGTACACAGTGTTCCACCTACTACTTGCGATGATATGAAGAAAAGGATTAGATATATCACCCCAAATAACTATTCTAAGGAATGTGAGAATATCATTTGAAGATAGAATAAGATGCTGTATTCAAGAGAAAGGTTATCAATTCGAACATCTATTAAAATTTTTCTTTGTTTCTTCTAAAAGTAAAATTTTCTTTAATAAATATTTTTCTTGTTCATAAATAATTCAGTTACTTACTACAAACATATTTATACAAAATTAATAACTTTTTATAATCATTCTGCTTATAAAATAATATTTTTTATTAGAAAACTTTTTTGAATATTTTCATGATAATGATAAAAGGAACTTTTACTTTTAGAAAAAACAAAGAAAAATTTTAATTGATGTTCGAATTGATAACCATTCTCCTGAATACAGCATCTTATTCTATCTTCAAATGATATTCTCACGCAAATGCATCTCTAATCCTTCCCTCCAATATCATCGCAAGTAATAGGTGGAACATTGTATACAAGATTTTTTATATAGCTCGCAACAAAGAAGTCCATTACGGTGAGGTCTGGACACCTACGTGGCCACTGACATGCACCATTCCTACTTATCCATTTATTACTAAATTTTCGATATAAATAATTTCTCACTGAATATGAAAAATTTGCAGATGCGCCATCTAATTGCATCCTCATTTTTCTCAATGTATTTAAGGGGGCGATTTAGTATGTATATTTTTACCGTGTAACAGAGCTTCAGATGAGGACACAAATCATCGAAGAAACTAACATAATTGGATATTATTATATATCAATGTGTTCGCAATGATTCCCGCTTGTGAGTGAGATAATTTTCAAAGCTCATGAGAACAGAAGAATAATTTAAATAAATGCCAAAGTACCTCAATTTTAATCATACTGTTAGTCTGTCGATATAATGCATTTACGACGGAACTAGGTAAGGCACAATAACCAAACTACTTCACTCACTAGAACGGACGCCTAGGATCATTTGTATTTAATTTTCAGATTAATATTTATTAATAATTCTATAATTTGTGTTCTCATGTAAAATGACAACATTTTACACATGATCTCCATTTTTATTACATATCTAAACCAGAATTGTAGCGTCCTATCTAGATACCAGATCTTGTTTGTGTGAATTAGTTTGTATACTCTCTCACAGGTGTTGCTACCCTTGAAAATGAAATTAAGCAGAGTTGGTTTATTATAAATTGTGTGCTAAAATAAAGCATAATGGTATAATAGTATTATCTTTGATATATAAATATGGGTAATTTTTTAAAAGTACCTAAGTAATAAGATTTTGTAAAGCTTAAGTAGTACGAAAATATAACGCATAAAAAACCAATAATATGTACTAATTTTTCTTTATTAAGAATAAAGATTAAGTTTTACGTACAGGGTGTCTGACATAAAATCGTTATTTATGTTCTAGCCTTGGTGCTTCAAAATAAATTTACAGCTTAAAAATTAGTCTGGCTCAGGTAGATTTCTTTTTCAATCTACAAATCAGTAGCTACTTACCGATAAGAAGGAAACCACTGGATATTTAATGAAAAAAGTGACAACCAAAAAAGTAATTCATTCTTGAATATGAATATAACTAACACGATTTTAATTGCATATTGTCTTAACAATCAACTTTTGCTTATTTTTAAAATGTTTGTTTTTTTTATTTCTTTTTTGAGTTTTCATTAGGTATACAAGCCGGGTCTTTACATTTCCTTTTTTGCCTTCTTAAAATGAACTAAATGCAAATATGAGAATAAAGTGATATTTCATAACAAAAAATATGTTTGGTGTGGCGGGGAATTCCAGAACAAAATATTTTTCAAATATGCTCCTTATGTCATATCGCGTTGCAAAATATATATTTTTGTATTTTCTGTTAAAACATAACATACGACATAGTGGCACTAAAACTTTGCTGCCCTGCGTTACTCCTCGATGTATACAGGGTGAGTCATTCAAGAGGCTCACCATGGGTGTCTCGCTTCTCTTTTATTATAAGAGATGTGTCGAGAGGATTTAAACCGGGTCCGGTCTTTTCATTTAGAACCGGTCTTTTCAATAATTTAAATTTCGCGCCATTTTATAGCCTCAAAGCAGATTAAAATGTCAAATATTGACCCCACCCTACTTAGGTTACTGGAAAGCTCTCAAGTTTTTAAGAATTTTAATTTTTAATTCTGTACCTAATATTAATAAATGCGTCAAGGCAAAGACATAGTTTGGAAATTCTTTGATTGCATAACTGATAACTAACCCTTTTTATACAAAACAGTTAAAAAGAGGGTTTGGGTTTAAGCCG